TGCGCGCAGCGCAGGCAGAGGAGAGCACCTCACCACCCGCACGCTGCTCTGGTTCACCCGGCGTGGCAGGCCTTGCACGGAGCCCAGCCGCGGGGCTGCCGGCTCTGGGCAGCGGCACCCGGTCCTCGCGCGCGATGCAAGTGCCCTTGGCGTCGGCCAGGCCGGAGCAGAGGCACAGGCCCTGCCAGCTGTACTCGTCGTCGCTGCCCACGGCGGCCACCCAGTTCCAGTGCAGCTCCCACAGCCGCTCCACCACGGCCTCCACCGGCACGCGGTCGCTGGGCACCGTGCGGAGGAAGGACGGGAACGTCTTGCGGCTGCTCAGCCGGTCCGTGCTGGCGCCGTAGCCGACCTGCGGGCCCAAGGCAGCTCCCGACGCAGGGGCTCCCGAGGCGGGCAGGAGGGGGGGACGCGGGCTGGGGGGGCGCACGCGCGGCATGAGGAAGGAGCTGGTGGCCACGGCGACCTCGGGGGAGGGGCGCCCGATGACGGCCAGCACGTGGGGCTGCTGCTGCACATAACCGCAGTAGGCGGCGACGCTGCAGCTGCCGGTCTTGGCCGTGAACACCAAGCTGGGCTTCACGGCGACCGCGGGCTCCCAGCACGTGTCGGAGAGGTTGTGACCCAGGTGCAGCCCCGGGGATCAGGGTGAACCCGCTGTTGATCTCCTGCACGGCCATCGTCGTGGCCAGCGCCCAGAGCAGCCCAGGAGACGAGAGCACCCTCAGCTGAGCCCAGGGGGGCAGAGCCCCCCAGCACATAGTCCCCTGGCCGGCTGAGCTGCCGGGACAGGCACAGTGGGGCCCCTGCCCTGACGCCCAGGACAGCCGCGAGGCCCAGGAGAGCCAGGCCCGGCATGGCAGGTGGCGGCTTCCAGCAGGGACAGCAAGCGGGCAGACTGACCGGGGGTCCCAGATATGGGGAGTCAGGGTGGGGAGGGGCGGAGGGTTTGTTTAGCAAAGCGCTTGCCTGTCCTCACCTGCCAGCTCGGGGTCCTGGAGACGTCCTCCATCTCCTGGGCCCCACAGGTGTGCTCACATTGGACTCATCCTGATGCCACCACTAGGCTCTCTGGCTGACAGTGACCTGGGCAGGCAGGCTTTGGGCAGCCAGCCGCTGACTGTGACCTTGCTACCTGCCTGTGCCCAAGCCCCTGGCACCCACCTATTCCTGGAGAGGGGTCACCCTGTACCCGTCTGCCAGAGGGGCCTGGATTCTCCGGCTGTCTGTGAGACAGGCTTGGAGGTGCCAATGCCCCAGGGAGTGGGCACAGAAACACTCCCTCCAGCCCTGGGGAGGCACTGTCGGCAGTCGGGGCGGGGGACTGCAGGGGCGGCTCCCTCGGCAGGCCCAGGGGCAGCCTGGGGGGGTGTGTCCCACAGCCCTGCAGGCCAGCCAGGAGGACAGTGGATGGCCTGATGGCCCGGCTTCCACCCCGTGGCTAGGGTGGGGAGGGTCCCGAGGGGGAGGCCGTGGGCTCTCGGCCTGCCTGGGGACAGTGCACCTTGAGGGTCTAAGGCCTAGAAGCTGCGGGGCCCCGTGGCTGGCCGTGCTCACACTGGCCTGGGCCCTGCCTGCGCGGGCCGGGCTCACAGCTGGGCCCGAGGAGCGGCAGGCAAGCGAGGGAGGAAATGCTGTAACTAAGCGGGCTGCTGCAGCCAGGTCAGCCCCAGGGTGTGCCGGGGGTCTGGGGGCCAGGCCAGCAGCTCCTGCTTAGCCTCTGGGTGCCTGAGGACCCGTCTCCCCCAGTCTGGGGCTGGGGGCCTCACTGACACCAGGCCGCAGGCACCCAGAGGAGCTGGGGGAGGCTAGCGACGGCCCTGGGGCATGGTGGTGGGGCCGGGCAGACATTTATGGGATGTGGTCTAGGAATCCAGTCCTTGCCTGTCTCCACTGCCCTGTGGGGCACGCACACATGGCATAGCACACACGCTACACGCATGCGCAGGGCCTGCACCTGCACCATTGCATGCACACGTGCAGCCCTCACCGTCTGGCCCCGGGGAACCCCAGGCTGTTCCCCCAGTCACTGGCCTTTGCAGGCACACCAGGCTCTGGTCCCCGCTGGGTGTGGGGACTTGGAGGTGGCTTGTGTTGGGCACTGCTATTCAGTTCTAGCCTTTGGGCAGCGTCTGAGAGGACCCTCCCTGACAGGCATCCTCCTTCTGTCCAGGCCACTGCCATGGCATGAGCAGCCCCCCTCCACTGGCTGCAGTCCAGGCAAATTTCCTTCTCTCTACACGGTGAGTGGCTGGCCTCAGACCTGCGTTTCCAACTCAGCCACTTAGGTGATCCTGTGACTCAGTTTTCTCGCCTCTAAAGTGGGGATAATGTGGACCTTGGCAACAGATGGGGCTTGGCAGGGCTAAAGCATGCACAGAGACGGGCAGGAACCCAGCACTGGCCGGGGCATACCTCACATCCCTGTGGTTGACACGGCCCTGACTGCCTGGCAGCAGGTACCTGGCACACCCAACACCCCCGTCCTGGAGAACAGTAGTTCTGCTAAGTGTAGTTTATTTATTTTGGAAAAGCCATCACCCGTATTACAGCTTCTAAGCGTACCTGAAAGCTTGCACTTATGTACATTTGCTGCACGGTGAATAATGTCCCCTTGGCACCTGAGGTCCTGGCCTCACAGTGAAGAGGCAGTGGGTGGGGCCAGGACCCCAAGCACTGGGTGATGGCCGGGATGGGTGTGGCCACCTGCCAGCCTGTCACTGAAGCAAAGCGGTCGCGGTCCCCTCCCTTGTGCTATATCATCCTGGGTCTCCTGAGCTCCACGGGGGTGGAGCAGTAAGGGGCAGGGAAGAGGGAGCACAGCATCTCGCTGGATGCTGGGGAGGGAGAAGCCAGCACTGGCCCAGAGGAGTCCTGGGATCCCGGGGGCTCTCGGGCTGTGCTGTGCAGACTCTAGGCCACAGGCGGCCACTGACACGTGTGCAGGGTGGTGGCAGCAGGGGAGTCCTTCCCTCGGGGCTTCAGGTCCTGCTGCCACTGCCGAGGACACGTGGGCCCCTGGCTGAGGAGGCGAGGGGCGGGGGGAAAGCCTGCAGTGCTGACCCCTGCCCAGGACTCTCTCCCTGTCCTGGGGACAGCCAGCCGTTACAGAGGGGCCCAAGGCAGCCCAGCTGGGCAGACACTGTGTCCTGCGCCCCACGACTCCCCGTAGCTCACAGACTTGACCCCCAGGCAGGGGCAGCTTTTCCATGAACACTAATCCTGACCCCCACTGACTGCTTCCTGCACTTCATCCAGCCGGGAGAGGCCTGACTGGACATGAGTGTAACTTAGCTGAGGGTAAAGATGAGAGGCCCAGGCAAAGGAGAGGCCGGGCGTGGAGCAGACGGCCAGCATCTGCCTTCTCCGTGAAGCCTGTCTGCAGCGGCTGGAGGCTCTAAATGGCTCCCGACAAGCTCAGCTCACCGGGGGACCCAGAAAGTTCCACGGTGGGACTGATGGGTCCCGGCTGCCCCCACCCAGCTCTGGATTAGGGGAAGCCCACCCCACCTGGGCCCGCCAGCCCCTAGGGTAGGTCCAGCAGGGCGTGCTCGGCGTAGAGCCTCTGGGAGATGTCATAGACGCGTTCGATGAAGGGCAGGGCCTCGCCCAGCATCTCCACAGCCTGCTCGGGGGACCCCACGTTCATGGTCTCCAGGAAGACCTTGCGTGTGGGCAGTGCACAGAAGGCCACGGTGACGGCGCGGCGGATGATCCAAGGGTGGTAGGCGGCCAGCGAGGCATTGTAAGAGTCAGTGCAGAGCGCGGCGGTGCGCGCGTCCTCAGGGCTGGTGCGGATGCCCTCCAGGAAGAGCTGCAGCCAGTGCAGGGCGCGGTGCAGCCGCAGCACCGTCCGGCAGCCCGAGTCGGGGTGGCGGGAGCGCCTCTCCAGGTCCACCAGCTGGCTGCCCACCTCGTAGGCCACCATGGCCTGCAGGGTGCTGTAGTGCTCCTGCTGGGGGCCGCCGCACAGCTGCTCCATGATCTGCAGCTTCGCCACCACGTCCTTGGAGATGAACGAGAAGATGGTGCCCAGGCTGTTCAGGAACCTGCGCGAGGGAGGCGGGCGCTCAGCTGGGGGTGCGGGGCGAGAGCACCCCCCACCTTCTGGGCCGCGAGTGAGGACAGCCGACCAGCACCGGGCCGGCAGGTGCCTACAGGTGCCGGCGGGACGCGGGTGGCGCAAGTGGGGCGCGTGGCCAGGAAAGGCCCTCGCACGCACCTAACCAGCCCCCTCCAGCTGGCAAGGTAGTGGCCCAGCAGCACCTCTTCCTTCTCGTTGAGACACTGCTTGAAACTGAGCAGGACAACCTTCAGATTAAACTCTGACTCCAAGTCATCCATTTCAACAGGAGCTGAAACACACCAGGAGTCAGGCTGTGGGTTGTCTCCTGGTGAGGAGGCTCCCTCCTTGGGTCATTGTTTCGAGGAGGGAGGGCAGGGGCAGCTGGAAAGAAACAGCTGGGCTACTGCTGCTCCCCAGTGAAAGCCCACAGTAACCCCCATCCCCAGGCCAGCCCCTCCTCCCCAGGAGCCCACCTTGCTCTGCTCAGGTCACACACTCGCAGACACACGGGCCTGGCCCGGCTCTTAGCACGGCCCCCCTGACACTCAGGCTTGTCAAACCACTGCCACTTCTCACTTGCAGGAGGCATCTCTGCTCAGGTTTCCTTGCTTATTTATAGTCTGTCTCTCTCGAGTGTGTGTCTGTTCCTACTAATTGGAGAGGTATTTGGTGAGTCCCCACCCAGAGCCAGGCGCCCATCCCTGTTAGTGAGACCAGCAAGTGTGTGTGTGTGTGTGTGTGTGTGTGTGTGTGTGTGTGTGATCATAACAAAGACAGGAAGTTCAACACAGTAGGTAAAAGGATAAGCACCGTGGAGACACAGACTGCGGGCTGAGGCTGGAGGGCCACGCCCTTCCTTACTTGAAGCTGCATGGCAACACACAGAGCAGAGGCTGCGGGGTCAGCATTTGCCGACAGATGGACAGACAGCAGTCTTCTCACTCCTACTGTAACTGTACCCGTCCCACACAGAACGGCAGCTAGAGCACACACAGGTTTTCTCACGCTCTGAAGACAGCCACAGGCCCTCCCCCAGCCCCAGGGAGTCCAGAAGTGCCCCAGGCCAGAGGCCTGCTGGCATTCATATAGTCACTCCACAAACATCCTAGTGCCCAAGCGTTAGTGGGTGTCGCTGGGCACCTCAGCCCCTGCCTCCCTGGGTGCCTGGGGCCTGCACTGCGGTGTGGCTCTGACAGGCCCTGGGGACAGAGCTGTGTCTCACCTCATGTCCAGGACAAGCTCTGACCCCTTTGGGTATGGGGGTTCCTATGCTTTTGGTGCTGGGAGCACTGTGGGAGCCCGGTCGCCCGAGGTGTGGTGAAAGCTCAGCCAGGAGAGCACACTTGTGTGCCTGGGCAGGGTCTGCCTTCCACTCTGCGGGCAAATCATGAACTGTTCTAAGATCCTGTCCTACATCTTTGGGGAAAATGGGCCCGCACACCCTCCCCTGCCCACCACCCAGGCTGCTGGGAGCATCTGATGGGGCCCAGTAGGTGCTAATGAGGCTCTGCAGGCCCCACGGCTTGGCCGCATGCCTGGCACTGGGTGGAGTGCCCAGAGGTGAGCTCACCCTGTCTTCAGGTGTGGAGGACAGCCGGGCCTGGACTCAGGAAGATAACACTCCGGAGGTTTCCAGAACACCCCTCCCCTCTCTCAGGCCCTCAGTCTTCTCTGTCCACCAAGCAGATGGCCTCTGAGGCCCTCAGGGCTACCTTCCTGGTCACCAGACATCCTGTGGGCCTGGCCTTCCTGCCCAGAACCCGAGCCAGCAGCCAACAGGAGGTGCCAGCAGCCTTTCAGAGCTTGGAAAAAACAGGAAGGGCAGGGGCGGCGCGGCCGGGGGCGGGCAGCCTGCCAGCTCTGGGAAGGTGATGCAGGGCACCGCCAAGGCTCCCCCAGGGGCAGTCCACGGTCAAGGTCAGCGCTCGTCCTGAGGCCGGCCTGAGCACCGGAGCCCTGTGGCTGACAGCAAGCTGAAGGACCCCAGGAAAAAGGGGGCAACCCTCCGGCACCCCAGCCCCAGTCTCGCCTGCTAAGGGGGCTCCGGGTGGCGCCGAGGTGGGATCCGGGGCTCGGGTGGGTCCTGCTCCAGCTGAGGCCCAGGGATGGGTCAGGGGCCCGGGGTCCGGGGCAGCGCGGGAGCCGGGTCGTCGGCCGCCCTCTCCCACGCCCGGCTCGGTTGCGGTGGGTTTCCGCAGCGCCAGCTCGACCCCACCACGTCCGGCTCACCTGCACCGCCGCCTCTCACCTGCGCCGCGCAGCCGAGCCGCAGTGGAGGCCGCGGCCCCGCCCCCGGCCACTGACCCACCGCCCGGGTCGCCCAATCAGAAGGTCCGATGCGCGGGCCCTCGTTTCCGTCGGGGGCGCCGGAAGCTGGCGCCTTTGGGGTTGCGCTTGCGCAGTGCGTCGCCGCGAGTCGGACGCGCATGGCGGCTTCCGGGACGCAAGCGCCCGGGTTTCGTGAGGCAGTAGTGGTCCCGCCGGCTCGCTGAGCGCGCCCGACAGGATGCCCGAGATCAGGGTCACGCCCCTGGGTGAGTGCGGCGCGGCGCGGGAGGAGCGCCCGAAAAGGCCGGTGGGAGGCTTGGAGGGCCGGGGACCCCGGGACGTGTCGTCCTCGCCGCGCGGCCCCCTGCCCGGCACCGTTGCTTAGGGCGCCTTTCTTCTGCTTCTGCATCCTCGCCACTTCCTGCCCTTCCACCTCCTCCATCTGTCTCGCGTCCCGCTTCCCTGCAGCCTCCGTTTACCCGTCTGCGGTCCACCCCAAGTCAGCCCTTGTTTTACTTGACCGCCGCAGTGTTAAAAAACAAAACAAAAAACCCCCCAAAACTTTTCTTTTTGCAAAAGATGTAAGTGCACAGTTTAAAGGCTCAAGCAGTACAGAACAGTGCGGAGGAGGAGAGATCACTCAGAATCAGAAACAGCTGGGGTCTCCGTGCACACGTGCCAGGGGCTTTTCGGGAACCTGCCCCCTGCCCTGGCCGTGTGTTGGAAGCATCTTCTCCTAGGGATGTCCCCCGCAGCTCCACATGCTTTCTTTTGTGGTGAGCTCTCCTCAATATAGCCCACCCAGCCCCCAGCGTGGACACTGAGCTGTTGACAGCTGCAGTGAACACTCCTGACCCTGGCCTGCTGGGTCACAGCGCACCTCCTACCCCACCAAAGGTGCCGTCACCCCCACGGCCTCTCCTAGCTGTTGGCTCCGGGTCCCCTCTGGCTGCTTCAGCCCCTACGCTCTCCCCGCGCCTGGTTCTTCTCCAGGGGCCTTTGCAGGATCCTCCTTCCAGCCTGACCCTTTCCCAGGTGACCCCTTTCTCACCGCTCATCCTTTTTTTTTTTTTTTAAGATTTATATATTTATTTATTGTTTATTTGGCTGCGTTGGGTCTTCATTGATGGGCACGGGCTTTTTCTAGTTGTGGCGAGCGGGGTCTACTCTTGGTTGCAGTGCACGGGCTTTTCATTGTGGTGGCTTCTCTTGTCGCAGAGCACGGGCTCTAGGCATGCGGGCTTCAGTAGTTGTGGCACATGGGCTCAGTAGTTGTGGCTCACGGGCTCCAGAGTGCAGGCTCAGTAGTTGTGGCGCACGGGCCCAGTAGTTGTGGTGCACGGGCCCTAGAGCGCAGGCTCAGTAGTTGTGGCGCACGGGCTCAGTAGTTGTGGCGCACGGGCTCAGTAGTTGTGGCGCGCGGGCTTAGTTGCTCTGTCACCGCTCATTCTCGAATGATCCTATCTCCTTACTGCTCCTTTTACCCCAGATCTGCTCCTGGCTGTGCCCCAAGGTCACTCAGCCACAGCACCGCCAGAGCACAGCTACTTCTGCGTCACCATCTGCCTTTGCCAGTTTCTGCCTCATGACCCCCTTGGTCTCTCCCACCACAGGACCTTTGCACAGCTGCCCCTCTCATCCCAGCTGTTCCTCTCCACCCTGCTCGGAATTCGCCTTCTCAGGCAGGGCTGGAAGTTTGTGTGCCCTTCCCTGCCTTACTTTTCCCTGAGGCGCTGATCTCCCCAAATGCAAGTTTGTCTAGGTGATTATTGTCCGTGTTCTCGGACACACACACACACACACCACACCTGGAACCTAAACTCGCTGCAGCCACGTGTCTCCTTGTTTTCTTCCCACCCTCCTGTGTGTCCCAGGCTCTGTCCCCACTTCGCCTGCCCAGTTCGCTCCCTGGGATTGTTGTGGGTGTTCCTATTGGGAGCAGGCGGCCAGTGCCTTAGAGCTGAGCTCCGGAGTCTAGAAAGCTGTCCCTGGTCCCATGCTTAGGAGCCACGTGCCGTGGGCGGATCCTGTGACTTCTGGGACTTCACATCCTCGTCTGTGAAGGGGGGCGGCCCTTCTCCCTCCCACACGTACCTGCAGTGCCTCTGAGCGGGGCATGGCTTGGGGCTGGAGGTGCAGTAGGAAGCAGGCTGAGACCCTGCCCTCAGGGAGCTCACATCCTGGTGGGGGGAGCAGGCCTGGGAGAGACTTCGAGGCCACTGCCTGAGGCACACAGGTGAAGCTCGTGGCTGCTCTCACCTGCCGTTGTCACAGGTGACTGGAGCTTCTTGAGGACCAGCCGCGGCCCACTTTGGGCGGTGGCCTGGTCACCCTGGTGTGTGTGGTGCTAACAGAAGGTTCACAAGTTTCCTTGCAGAGGGAGGCTTGTAGGATCCAAGATGAAAACTAGGTCATTTGCTGTCATCGGGCCTTGTGAGGCTGTGTCCCTTTCCTTCTGGGCCCCCAGACCCTAGAGGAGGTGACAGATGGCCGTATGAGGTGGCCGGGATATGCCCCGTTGGGCCTGGAGCATCTGGGCAGGGCTTGGAGGTCAGGACTGTGGATGAGATTCGGGTTATGGTCTGGGCTGGGGGTACCTGAGGGGGCCCAGCGGTGGGGCGTCTGTACTGTGGCCACTCTAGTTGGTCATTGCTGGACAGCTAGGGCCATGTTTCCCCGTGGCTGGGCTAAAGCCACACAGTGTCCCTCTGCAGTGGCACCACCAGGAGGTGCCTGGTGGTCACAGCTCAGATGTGGCCACAGCTAAGGTCTTGGGAGGGGTGGTGAGGCCCCAAGGAGCCCTGGCTTGCCTCTCTTGAGTGCTGGGACCACAGTCCAGCACCCCTTACTCAGCTCCTGGCCTCAAGCCTGTGGGCCACTGCTTGAGTGGCAGGGTCCGAGGCTGGAGGCATCATGGGGAAGGGTCCAAGGTGGCCTTGGTGCTTTGTCCCCTCCCTGTGCGTTTCCCTTGCCCATGTGCAGAAGTGGCAATGCTTCTCACCTCACACCT